CACCCGGCTGCTTCCTCAAATAATTCACTGAGCAGTGAAGCAGGAAAACTACCAGGAAAACTACCAGGAAGACATGGGGGCTTTTACTGGCTGGATTTTTTTAAAAGGAAATCAATTTTCTCGTATTAGCAACACAATCACAACTCCACCTTGCGCTTTCCTAACCACCTGCTGCTTTTTGGCCCTTCCCCTCCAGCAGCCAAAGGCTCTTCGGGCACTGAACCCATCACCACGCGTGGAGGCGAGCGGGGCCCTTCGGCCTGGGCACAGCTCAGCCCTGGGAGCCAGGGGAGCACCCGGGGACCCAGAGGAGCCTCTGGAGAGACAAGGGAGCTGCCCCCTCCCCGCTCAGCCCCGTAGGAGCCCCGGTTCCCGCAGCTCGGGCCCGTGGCGCCGCCCCGGAAGGCTCCCGGCCGTTTCCTGTTCGTGGCGCCGCCCGAGGCAGCGGCAGCTCCCGGGGCTCGGCACCGACCCCAGGCACTGCCAGGAGGGCTCCGTGCCCTTTTTCCCGAGGAAGGATAAGTTTATGGAGCGATACGGAAATGCATCGGGAGATCGAGAGTTGTTCTGCCTCCATGCAGGAGGAGATGCTGCAGCAGCTCAGGCCTGGAGCCCCCAGCCGGGAGCAGCAGCGCTGCCAAAGCGCTCTCTGCTGCAGGGATCCTCCCGAGCCTTCTCCCGCACCATTCCCGCTCCCTCCTTACCGGGCAGCCCCCGCAGCAGCCGCTCCCAGCGCCTCCCAGTGCGGAGCGGCGGGGCCGGGAGCAGGGAAGGCGGGGGAAGGCGAGGGATGGCCCCGGCACCGCCCCCGGTGCCGCCCGCCCGGGGCTCCCCTGCCCAGTGAAATCCACCGGGCGGCTTCTGGAGGCTCCATCCCACCGAGATCCTGGAGCCGCGCACACAGCTCTGTGGTTACTGATTACATAGTTACAGCTTTCAGAATGCCCACGGATCCCGGGAATGCTCAAGCACCCTCCACATTTCACGAAGCAGATGCAGAGCCCAGGAGATGCTGCAAGGTAGCAGAACAGGATTCAATGCTGCGGGCAGCCAAAGCCAGACCTACAGAGCTCTGCCTGTGGTGTCCAGCAGAAAGATAAAATGCAGCAAAAGCCCCCAACAGCAGCACTTGAAAAGCTTAGAATATTGGGATTTCAGACCTGGGCAGTTTAGCCTGATTCAGGGCAGGATTTTACCCCTTCCTCAGGAGAGTAATAATTCTGTGCAGCTGAGGTCAGCAGAGCCGTGGTTTGTTGGAAGCAGAGTCCCTTCAGTTTGTACTTTGTACAGCAGTGATGGGTCCATGCTAATTAGCACAGCCTTTAAGCCACTCCTAATTTTAAGAGAAACCAGTGAACTTACTCAAGGACTGAAGACAGAGGCTGGCTTGAAGCAGTTTGCTAAATCACAGCATGGGTTGGATTTCCTGGGCTTGTGTCCCAAATATTTTATTTGGGTCACCTGCTGCTTAATCGTGCAGGGGTGGCACCTGCAGCAAGAGAAAGCACCACACAATCACCAAAGGGCCCTGGGTTTACACAACCTGGCTCTCTGAGGTTTGGACACCCCATTTTGCTGAGAGCACCGCTGCAGACAGGAGGGGGTGATGTCCCTGAGGCACCTGCCCAGTTCCAAACCCCACAGTTCCTGGGCAATGCACAGGTGATGTTTAACTGGGCTACAGCTGCCACCAAACACCTGCAGGAAAGCAAAACACCAACCAGGCGTAGGCTGCAAATGGCACCAGGCCTTTCCTGAGCCCTCCCAAATTTGGCACATGGGATTCTGATGCCTTTGGCTCCCTCCTCCATCCCTGTTGTGCTCCCCAAGGGATTGCTGCTCCCTGCACCATGCAGAAATAAATTGGTCTCCTCAAGATTTGGGTTGTTGAGCCTTAGGCCAAATGTGGGTTTAAATACTAGGCACAGAGAATCAGACACTGTCCATCATCCCTGCCTGCCCACTTATTAAATCCAAATAATGGAATGCCAAAGTGCCCTGGGGTCTTCCCAACTTGTTCCCTAAACCTTCAGACCCTGTGGATTTTAATTATAAAGCAGGGTCCTGGATTAATAGACCTTCACTGGGAATGCATCTCACTCTGAAATTTATTAAAATTGAAAAAATGAATTTATTTTAGGGGACAAGAGGCCAAAGGATACTCCTGTCAGTCCTCATGTGTCCACTGGTATTTTTTCCAACAGGTTTACCTGTGGATGGATTGCTTGGAGCTAAAGGAAGAGGAGGCCAATGGCACCATTACCCTGCTGCATTTAATTTACAAATTTAATTGTTTTCAATTTCATTTCAGCTTTGACTCAGAAGCTTTTTGCTGGACCACACAAGAGAGAGGATACCCACAGGGCTGTGTGGGCTGGGGTCCACCTCCTCATCCCCAGGATCCCCTAAAGAAGTCAGTGATATTTCTTTTACCTTGTGGAAAACTTGGTTTGATTTTAAGGTCCCAGTAAGGCTTCAGCTCTTGTGGGACTTTCCCCTGTTTATTTGTTCTCTGATGGAAAAGGAGCAAGATTTATTATCACAACAAGGAATAAAGGGATTGGAAAAGAGTTGGTATTTCTTCAAGGGTCTTTTCAAACCTAGAGGGCTCAGACTTTAAGTTAGTGAAGAATATAATTCTCTTGTCTTAAAAGCAGTGGAGTATGGATACAGTTCCTTGTAGGGAAGGGATTTATCCACAAACCAGAGATGTCACTGTTGATGTGTTAGAGCTGTGCCTCAAGCTGGCTTTAGGGCTATCCCTGCCTGCTCCTGGGCATTTGCAACCCAGGAAAAATCAGTGTTTGTGTCAAAAGAAATCCCAGATGAACACAAGACCAGAGAGGGGAGGGAGAAGGGAATTCCCACAGCAGTGACTGTTTTAGGGAAGTGCGTCCCTGCCCCTGCAATTCCCAGATCCCTGCAATGGCAGCAGCAGTGGCTGGTGATGTCCTGTGGTTGCTGTGCTGCAGCACACAAAGGGCTGGAGGGGAAGGAAAGGCAGGCAGGACATGCTCAAGGGCAGAGGAGGAAGGCTGCAGAGGAGAGAGCCCTTGGCTTTGCAATGCTGCCTCACCCTCGGCTCATCCGGCAGAAATCCTTCCTGTGGAATGGCTGATGAGCAGCACTGGGGCTGAGAGCAAAGCCCAGCACTGGGGGCTTCAGAAACAATAGCAGCAAGTCCTTTTCCCTGCATTTCACCTTTTAATTAAAGAAGCTGGGAAATCTGGTGGTGAAGCCAGCAAATTAAATGAAATTTAGAAGTCACCTGAGGATCTGTGGCCGAGCAACCTGAGATCTCCCATTCCCCACGCAGGGGCCAGATCCACTGCTGATGAATTAACAATTCTGGAATAAAAGGAGGGAGAGAAATGTGAGCTCAAAATGATCTTATTTCACCTTTCCTTGCATGCACTCTGTGGTCATGAGGATGTAGTGGCTGATATTATTATATCTGCTGGCACAAGCAAAAAGTCCAGTGCCGTCAGGAAGCTGCTGTACTAAAATTAAATAACTCTTGGGGATGTGCATGGCCAAACCAGACTCACAGCAATTGCTCTGGGTCTGGCTGATGCCTGATGGGCTGCTCTGACATTGCAAACGAATTTGTGGCAATTAAACAAGATTCAGGACCATCTTAATTCAGAGTTTAAGCTTTTCCTTCTTGGGGTCCCAGCCAGGCATGTGACAGAATGTGAGACAGTGAAAGGAATGAGAAGGAGGTGTCTTTACAAACTGTGGGCCTGATGGTGGGTGAGGCCAGATAGGGAGAGGTGAAAGAAGCAATGGGGGGAAAATATATAAATAAATTCCATAGGAATTCCATAGGAATCCCACTAATTGACACAGACTGTTACTCACTCAAGACTGTGCTAAATATCTGGATTTAGAGAAAAAGAACAGAAACAGAAAGAAAAGTGGGGTATACATTAGAAGGGGCCTTAAGTATCAGGCATTTCAGGAAGTCTGTACATCTCAAGTACCTCAGCCAACAAGAGAAAGAGAGAGGGAAATGGGGCTGGGAAATCAGGATAAAAAGGAGGTTGCATGCCCAAAAATTTTGAGAGACCCCAGGGGAATGCCCCATGGCCTCTCCCTTTATTTGAATAAAGTTACAGGATTCCTCTGTCTCCTTTTTGGACAGAAGCCTCAGGTGTTTGTGGATTAATTTTCCTGACAATAGGGAGGGAGAAAAAGGAGAAGGCAGCAATATTTTAGGCTCTTCTCTTCTTCCTCAAAAGCCCCTGCACCAGGAGACAGCTGAGTCCATCCCTCCCTGCCCATTTCCATTGCAGCTCCCAGGATCACAGCCCTGTGTCCCAAAAGCCAGGTGGGAACAGGCCTGGAAGTGTAGTGGTGCAGAGGGTTGGAAAAGGGGAATTTTGGGGTTCTGGCTGTGCTGTGACGACCAGTGATGGTCTGTCCCAGTGGGGGCACGAGGGCTGGAGGCTGCAAATGCACCATGGCATTGAGGAGGGTGCAGGAGGGCACAGAAGGGTGCGAGACAGTGCAGCAGGGTGAGGAAGGATGCAGTGGGATGGAGGAGGGTGCGTGAGGATGCAAAAGGGCAAGGAAAGACGCTGCAGAGGACAAGAGGGTACAGGAGGGTTTGGAAGGGTGCAGAAGGGCGCTTCAGGATCCAGAGAGTGCAGGTGGGAGCCGGGAGAGTGCAGGAGGATGCAGGAGGGTTGCAGGACAGTGCAGGAGGAAGATGCCGGAGGGCGGTTCAAGGAGGATGCAGAAGGACGCAGTAGCTCCATCCCTGAGCTGCCGCAGCAGCGGGGCCGGGCAGGACAGGGCCGGACAGGGCAGGGCCAGGCAGGGCAGGACAGGGCCGTGCCGGGCGGGGCCGGGCAAGGCAAGGCAGGGCAGGGCCGGGCAGGGCAGGGCAGGCAGCGGGGGCGGTGCGGAGCCCGGCCCGGCCCCGGCGGGGCGGGTTCAGGGGACGGCCGTGGGGCCGGCCCGCCCTGCCGTGCCCTGCCCGGCTCTCCGCGGTGCCGATGGGGCTGCGGGCCTGGCTGCGGTCGCTCGGCTGCTGCGGCTGCTGCGGCGGGGAGGCGGCGGCGCCCGAGAAGGAGCCCCTGATCAGGTGAGACCCGGCCCGGTTCCCCGGCGGGGGATGTGCCCGCCCGGCCACCCGGAGCCTTCCCCCGCTGTCCCCTGCCCGCTCCCCGCGCTGTCCCCGCCGCTGGAACGCGGCTCCATCCCTGCCAGAGCCATCGCGGCTCCGGGGGGATCTTCCCCGGCGGGATGGAGCCGCTGCCCGCTCTCTTTCCGTACGGGTTCTGCCGCAGGGGCTGGACTCCTGACAGCAGGAGCCCTGCCCGCGCATCCCCTCGGGGTTCCCCGGCCCTAGGGACGGTCCAGTGCTCCTCTTTCCACGGCGGGATTTCAATGGAGGAGCTGAGGCACTGAGCTAAAAGGAGACCCTGCATCCCTGACAGGGGTCAGGTCCCACTGCCGGCAGCTCTGAGTTGTGCAGAGCTCTGTTCCCAGGCTGGGCTCGCAGAATCGCAGAATGGACTAGGATGGAAGGGATATTAAAGCTCATCCAGTTCCACCCCCTCCCATGGCAGGGACACCTTTCACTATCCCAGGCTGTTCCAAGCCCTGTCCAACCTGGCCTGATGCACCTCCAGGGATGGGGCAGCCACAGATTCTGTGGGCACCCTGTGCCAGGGCATCACCACCCTCACAGGGAAGAATTTCTTCCTAACACCTAATCTAAATCTCTCGTCTTTTAGTTTAAGCCCATTCCCCGTGTCCTATCACTACCTGTTCCGGTAAGAAGTCACTCTTCCCTTTAGGCGCTGGAAGGGCTCCCTGGAGCCTTGCCTTTTCCAGGTGAACACCCGCAGCTCTCCACCCGGCTCCATTCAGGGATGCGGGGAGGAGGTGGATGCTCAGCAGAGCCGGCTCTAAGGGGAACTGCGTGTGCTGATCTCTGCGGAGCAGCTCCTGCTCTGCTGCTCTCGGTGCACAGAGCGTGAGGTTGGGGCTGTTGTATGGACAGATCCTCCCTGACCCGTGGAGAAGAGCTGTGCAAGCACTTAAAGAGGGCTTGCGTGAGGTAAAACACCGGTGTTTTGCTGCAGCTCTCCCCCTTTCCCCGATGCGAGCCCCGGGATGGAGCCGGGGCCGTACCCTCCCTGTGCCAGACGCGTTCGGGGAGCAGGGTGGGATGCTCCCTGCATGGGTAACAGCACAGCTGGGCACACACGGCTTCAAAGTGCCCTGGTAAAGCAGTTACCTAAATAATGACCGGCTAATCCCAAGCATGGGGCCTCCGGGCCAGGAAATTGGCATTAACCTCCCGGGAGCCGGGCACACGTGTGGAGAGGTTCCCGCTGCTGCCCCGTGTCCCTCCCCGGGCACCTGACTTTGGTAAAGGGCCCCAGATCCAATTAATGCTGGCCCCAAGGAGGAAAGGCTCTGGAAATTCTGGGAATTGGAAAGGCACCTGCTCTTATACACGTGTGCCAGCATAATTACTCTAACAGCCTAATTGCTGTCCCTAACAGACTAATTGCTGTCCCTAACAGGATAATGCTTGCCCCTTCTTGGGGGGCTGTGGGGTCTCATTTCATAGTGGGGATCTTGCAATAGCTTGCTGGATTTGTTTTTACTGCAGTGCTGTTTAAAGTGAATGAATTGCTCGAGGTTTCAGCTCTTTTAGCTGAGTTTTAGGTTTGAGAGCTGCTGTTGCAAAGCATCCAGGCTGCTTGGCTGTCTCTTGATGTGTGAAGATGGGGTCTGGCTTGGATGGTGCACTCAGGATGAAAATCAAAATATTTGGGCTCCAAATGCTGAAATTTGATGTGAACTGAAAGCCCCCTGGAGCAGCAATGATGAAGCATTGGTGCTCACCATTTTCTGGATAAAATCCACAATATGAAATGCTCCCTGTCCCTTCTGGTCCCACAGAGATTCCTTAACCTGCACAGCCGCTGCTGTCCCCGTGCTTCTTTTCTCCCTCTCATTTTTTCCTTTGCAATGTTGCTTGCAAGAGCTGTTGACAGAGCTCTCTGTGCTGGTGTGGATTGGCTGACTCCTGGGCACTGCCACATGCCTTACAGGATGTTCCATGCTGTGATTTGGAAATGGGAATGTGCTGGGAAGGGCCCTTCGAGCTGTGGGGGAGGGAGTGGCTTAGAAAAGCTCAGGTGTGGCAGTGTTATTGCTAAATACTGGTGTTTTAAGTAATTCAAATGTTAGGCATACTTACTGGGGTAAATGCCTGAGTGGGAAGGAGCTCAGCATGGGAGTGAACTCCTGCTGATGGCGCAGCTGGCTCCTGAGGGCTCCCTCCCTGTCTGCTCCACCATTGAAAAATGCTTGTGCCCCTCCACACCCTCCAAGTTACCTTTGTTTGCTTGTCTTTAATGAGAGATTATAAGAGATTATCTTTCCCCTCATTACCTGTTGCTCAGGTTTTTGGGTTGTTGAAAGTCTAATTAACCTCCCTGCTGGGATGCTGATGGGAATTAGTTTTTTTCCTATTTCATCTATGTGCTGGAGCTCCTCTTAGCATCTTTTTATGGCTTGGTGCCATGGCATCCACAGTGTTACCTGAAATTTTTCTGGATGGGTTCCTTGGGAAAGGAATGGGGTTTGGGTAGCAAACAAAATAAACAGTGGGTTGTTCTGACAAGAAGTGAGCAGGGATTGCCAGAGGGTGATAAGGCCAAAAATAGTTGTCCACTTGTGTTGTTCTGCTGAAGCAGCTGGGCATCTTGCTTAGACACTTTATGGAAATCCCCTGCTAAAGGTTCTCTTGGCAGAAGTGTCCTTGTTAAAAAATTGCACATAAAGGGATTTATATGCAACATAAAGCCATAAAACACAGAACTGTCCCAGTGCAGAGAAAAGCTCCCCACCCCTGTGAGGACAGCCTTCCCAGAAGACGATGCTCAGCTTTGCTAAGCAAATAAAGCCTGGAGTTCATTAGAAGGCTGAGGACATTCCCATTGCCAAAATAGATGGGGCTGAATATCCTTTCCATGCCTTGTCTGTTGTTGCACGGCTCAGCACATCGCTGCAGCTCTGAGGGGGGGAGCTGCTGGGTGGGGGCACCTGTGGGCACTGCATGGTTTGGTTTGAACCATGGCTTGCCTGCTCAGGATGGAAAAAAAGGAAAAAGAGGAAAAAACCTCTGTCCCCCTCATTGTCCCTGCTCTCTGGGAGAGGGGAGGGCACAGCAGTGGGCACTGGGAGGGCAGCAGGGGCCAGTCTGGTGCTGGGCTGCCTGGCCCTGTGTGCCTGCAGTGAGAACAACCCCTACATGTCCCTGCAGTGACAATAACCTGTGTGTCCCCACAGTAACAACAACCCCTGCAGTGACAATAACCTGTGTGTCCCTGCAGTGACAACAACCCCTGCAGTGACAGTAACCCCCGGGTGTCCCTGCAGTGACCCTAACCTGTGTGTCCCCACAGTAACAACAACCCCTGCAGTGACAGTAACCCCTGGGTGTCCCTGCAGTGACACTAACCTGTGTGTCCCTGCAGTAACAACAACCCCTGCAGTGACAGTAACCCCCGGGTGTCCCTGCAGTGACACTAACCTGTGTGTCCCTGCAGTAACAACAACCCCTGCAGTGACAGTAACCCCCGGGTGTCCCTGCAGTGACACTAACCTGTGTGTCCCTGCAGTAACAACAACCCCTACGCGTCGTTCGGGGCCACGCTGGCGCGGGATGAGGAGCAGAACCTGTGGAGCACCCCCCACGACGTGACCCACACCGAGGCCGACGACGACCGCGTGCTCTACAACATGATCGTGGTCAGGAACCAGCTGGACAAGGACTCGGAGGTGAGGGCTGGGCCGGGCTGGGTGTGGTGAACCACAGCATCACAGGAGGCTTTGGGATGGAAGGGACCTCAAAGCTCATCCAGTTCCACCCTCTGCCATGGGCAGGGACACCTCCTCTATTGTATTTGCTGGGAAAGTCCTGACAGAGGCAGGAGTGATGCATCTGACTCCATGTTCTCAGAAGGCTGAGTTATTACTTTATAATACTATATTATATTAACTAATACTATAACTATACTAAAGAATCCAGAAAGGATACTTACTGAATGCTAAAAATATAATAATGAAAACCCATGACTCTTTCCAGAGTCCCAACACAGCTTGGCCCTGATTGTATGAATCAGGATCCAATGGAACAATCACCTGTGGCTGAACAATCTCCAACCACATTCCACATGAGCACAACACGGGAGAAGCAACTGAGATAAGAATTGTTTGCCTTTTCTCTGAGGCTTCTCGGCTTCCCAGGAGAAAAATCCTGGGCGAAGGGATTTTTAAGAAAACGTGAATGCCCACATTCCACTATCCCAGGTTCCTCCAAGCCCTGTCCAACCTGGCCTTGGACACTTGCAGGGATGTGCCAGCCACAGCTTCTCTGGGCACCCTGTGCCCACCACCTTCCCTCAGCACCGTCTCAAAAGGGATATTTTTCCTAATATCCTGTCTAAAGCACCCCAGGCTGTGGTTTTGGTTGGATATTTCCCTGGTTTGTCCTTCCCATGGGCGAGCACCGTGGGGCTGTGTTGGGTTCACTCTGCTCCAGAGGGATGCAGGGCAATTATCGGGGAGCAGGGAACTAGGCACGGCTCTAGTGGGAAGGGAAAAGTCATGGCTGTTACATAAAGGCTGTTGTGCAGCCCTGATTTCCTCTGCTAAGGCACTCAGTGCAAAGGAGATTGCAGTGGCCTGATTAGGAGCAGGCTGGAGCAAACAGTGACACATTTTTCCCCTCTCTGATTGCTTTCATGATGCCAGAACGTTTGCAGGGAGGCCTGAAGGCTTCATGTTTAACTTCAACGTGATCCTGCTTCATCCAAGAGTCTGCAGGAGTGTAACTGTTTCTCTCTCTCTAAAGCAAAAGCCAGCTCAGCTTTAAAAGGAGCCTTAAACCCCAGAGAAATCAAAATTACAGTTTTAATTAGCTAAAAGAGGTAATGATATGCTTGTATACAGTTGGTCAGTATCCCCACTTAAGGGGTTGTTTTTTGGTGAGTTTGATTTAATGTGATGTTTACAATGGATGGTTTTGTAACAACATTTTCATGGTTGCATGTGACCTTTATGGCTCAGACTGGAGATCACTTCCCTCCCCACTGCTGCTCTGTCTACCTTAGTTGCTTGTCTGAGAGAAGCCAGGCAGCTTCCTCCATCCCAAAGTGGCTGCAGGAAACAAGGACAGCTCCATTTAGGGGCTGCACTGATGCACAGCAGTGTTGTGTGTCACCTTTGTTCAGGGGGCAGGGAAGAGTGTCACTTATGGCTGAGCAGGAAAGTGCTCCTGCATGTCCTAAACCAGTGTGCCTGCCTGCCCTAAATCCTGCCCTAAATCCTGCCCTCAGTGTGTCTGTAGGGTTTTTAGCAGCTCTGAGCAGTCCCTGTGGAAAAACAAAGCCCAAAACTCACAGGGCTTCCTCTCCATAGCAAAGGCAGGATCACATATTCTGCTTTTTCATGCAGTGCAATCAATAAAAAGCCTGGGGAGCACCACATAAGGACAACAGTGAGGAAAGTTTTGAGGAAATCCTTTATCCACACTATGCGCTTGCTTTGAGTGTGGCCTGTGCCCTTTGCAACCCAGGATTGGCAGCAGCTCTGCTGTCCCCTCTTACAGCTGGGAAACTGAGGCACACAGGGAAGCCCAGCAGGTTCTTGCTGGGTGGCTGGGACAGCAAAGCCAGCGTTCCTGCCCTTGGCCCCTGGTGCCAGAATCTCTCCTTACTCCAGCAAGCATTTAAAACTAGGCCAGATTGCAGTGCCCTCCCCTCCTAATGAGACTTCAGCTCAGAGAGAGAGAAGAAAGTCTGATTGCAGAACAACACTGTGCTGCAAAAGCCAGCATCTGCTTGGGGGGCTGCTCTGCCCCCAAATCCCCAGGGAGAGCCTGTGGATGCTGCAGGAGTGAGGATGGACGAACAGCTTCTTTGTGCAGTGCATAAGTGTTACAAAACCATAGGTACTTCCTGTGGTCAAAACTGCCTGAAAGGAGAACTTGCTGCATTTCTGCTCCTTCATTTAACAAAGAAATTCTGGTGTGCAGGGCACTCACTGTGTGCTTTGCCATTCCCCATCTGTACCTCAGGGATTTCCCAGCACAGGCCTGTGGAAGGATCTCAAAGAGCAGGCAGCTGTCTATCATGTGTTCTTGATCTGCATGGCCCCATCCTGGCAGTGCTGGTGGTCAGTTTTTTGTCCCCACTGTGGGGCAGCACCCCTACATGATCCATGTGGAGCTGTGTCTTCCTCCTATCCCTGCTAGCAGCTCCAGCCCAAACTCAGTGTGTCCTTAGCTTGCACAGGGAAAACCAGGAAAGCCATTGCTGAGGGGCTGGCCAAGCAGATACAGCCTTTGAAGATCAGAGCTGCCATCACAGCTTTTGAATTCCAGGATCATGTTTCAAATATGGGGAAAATGGGAGATTTTTTCCCTCCTCTGGCTCTGCAGCTTCATGGAGCCTGTTGTAGGGTAAAGTAAATGTGAGTTCTGCTGGTGAAATGAGCAGCAGGGGCTGCACTGGGGCTGGTGCTGAGTGTGAGGTGCAGAGTCCCCTCCTGAGGTCCCCTCTGGGGTGGCCCTGGATTCTCCATGGGCTCTGCTGGGCTGTGTGGAGTTACCCAGCTGTAGGCAGGGAGCTGTGCACCAATCCTGGCTTCAGAGAAAGAGCCAGAGCAGCTGTGTCACAGCTCTGGGAACAGAAACTAAAGGTGACATTTCACATGGTGACTGAGGAAAACCCCCTGTTCTCATGGCTTGCTGTAAATGCAGTGTTTCTCTCTTCTCTTGGCTTATTCCCTAGGAAAAGGTAGGATCACAAACCCCATAGCAAAGGCAATTCTCAGTCTGCATCCCTGCCAGGGGCCTGGCTGCCAGAGCAGCACTGGCATGACCCCCCTGAAAAGCCCATTAATGAGCTGGCAAGGCCTATTTTTCTTTCTCCTCCTGCTCTCCTACAGGATTATTCTTTTCTAAACAGGTCACAGAGAAGGTCAGAATTGTGACCAGCTGTTACTGGGGCACAGAGAGGTGATGGGATTTATCCAGGGCTGGGGAGCCCAAACCCAACCCTCTTAATGTCTGCATGCCTCTCTCAAATGGAATCCAATTTAAGCTTCTTCTGAGATGTCAGTCTGTAGTTTATATTTGTGTTTTATCTTTGTTCAGCTGCTTCCAGTGGAGCCAGAGCAGGAGCATCCCTGGTACCTGCCTGCACTGATATTCTGCAGTCTTTCCCTGATAACTCTGTTTTGACCTCATTTCTAAAATAACTCTTGAACAGAATGGTGACCTCAATTGCTTTTAAGAGAATAAAAGCAATGGATTTGGTAGAGGATTGTTCTGGCAGCATGAAGAAAGCTCCCTAGTAATTAGGAAACTTTGATATGATCAGGGATGAGAAGCTGGACAGTGCTGCCTGTTCTCTTGGCACATTTTTTCCCAGAACTCTGGGTTATGTACCAGCCTGGCTTATTCCATGTCATTTGGCATTTGCAGCTTTAGTGTTTCACACTAGAGAGTCTGGGGAGGTTTTCCAGATAAATATTTGAAGGGCTGAGCATGTAGAGAAGGGAGGCAGTGGGGTTTCCCTGGGATATTCTTGACTCACACACTCGGGGTTTTCTCAAGCCCTCACTGGTATCTGTTGTAGGTTTAAAGGGCAAAACTGGCTGCAAAAAAACAGGGCTGGGAACTGCAACCTGCTTTGGTTCCCTCTCGTTAACTCAGATTTTGGCAAAAGAGTTAAAAACATTCAAGAGTTAAAGGATTGATTTTGAGTGCATGGCTGGGATGTCTCAGAAACACCTCATGTTTGTGTGTCAGTGTCCCCCCCTCTGTGCTTTCAAGCCTCCTCCCTGGCCCAGGAGTTTATGTGACTTCTGAGAAGGCCAAGGGAGAGGGGATTGGTGTGGAGCCCCTGCCCTGCCCTGAGCAGCCCTGTGATGCCCTGAGGCCCCTGTGATCTCACGGGATGCCTCCCCAGAGCCTCTGATCTCGCCCTTGCCTGGGTATGGGCAGGGCAAGCTCTGCTCTTCCTGTGCTGTGCAGCTCGAGGGAGATGCTTGTTAGAATAATTTTGGGTGTGGAGAGATGCTCTTGAGTTGGTTCCCTCATTAAAGGCACACAGAGCACAGCCCATGGCAGTTCAGGTGTCTCTGCTGGCAGGAATTGCCTGGGAAGATCCAGTGGTTTCTGAGACTGATGGAGAGCAGGGCATGAGTCCCTGTGAGAGCTCAGCCCAATCTCATCCTGATAATCTCTGCTTCTCTGGTCTTTTTCCATGGCTGGGAGCATCCTCCTCCCAGCTTTCTCTACAGAGAGATAAACAGATACAGCTTCATGCTCAGGCAAAATAAATCCCACCAGAACAAGAGGTCTCCCACCCAGGCACCACAGTTCAGCATCATTTTGTGATTTAAGCATCAAAATCATTCCTTTGCACACTCCCCAAACTCTCCATCAACAGGGCACTGTCAGAGCTTCCCTGGGACTGAACATTCACCATACTCACTTCCATAACACAGCTCAGACACTGTGCTGTACAAGAAAGCCATAACCTAGATTCCCTTAAAACAAAAACAGACAAGGGAAAACACGCTGCTGTTAATCCAGAGAAAATCAGGAGCAGCTTCCCTGCATGCTAAGCACTGCTCTCCATGCTGAGAGAGGAGTCTGGCTCCTACCACAGAGTAAATCCCCACGGCCCTGGAAGCTGCTGCTGGGTACCAGGAGTTCACATTTTGTGAGGAGCATCTTTCCCAGTGGCCCAGCTCCCTGATTCTGCAGCGTGAAGCAGGCCTGGGATCACAGTGGCTGTCTGGGGGGGCTCTCTGCACTGGGGGCCTTGTTTCTCTCCATGGGACGGCACAGACACCCAGCTATTCCCCACCAGCATGCCCAGACTGGCTCCCTCTCCTTTCTGCCCGTGCCAGGGGGTCACGAGAGGGCTGAGACGTTTCCAAGGAGCCCCTGCCAGCGGGGACCAAGGCATCGTGCAGCTTTTCAGCCTCTGTCTAAAAACTCTCCAGTTTTCAATAAACTTCCCACAAAGCTTGGACACAATAACCCCCCTCTTTTGTTTTCCACCCAGAGGAGCTCAGTTCCCAGGTCTGAGCTGGGAGAGGAGAGTCCTGCCCCTGCCTCATTCCTCTGTGCAAACAGCAAAGCTGGTCTCAAGTGCCACTCCAGGAGAGAGGGAAATGTCCCTCTGGAAGGGGATTTTGTTTTCTGGGAGTGAGTGGCTGTGGCAGAGCTGGTTCTCCTGCTCTCCTGACCTGAAGTCACCACTGCCTTAACCCTGCTAGCTGCTTTTTCCAAACTGTAATCCCCAGGGCTTCCTGTGCTGATCAGCAGGAAAACAGGCTTGGCTTTAAATCTCTGCTGTCGTGGCATGTCAGCCACAATCAGGAAAAAAAAAAACTAAGGAATCTTCAAATCTTTATGGAATCAAGTCAGCTCTTTGACCAACTCCCAGAAAACAATGGGATTTTTAACATAGGGCTGACGTCTGTGGGTGTTGCTTTGCTGCTCTGAACCCAGCATGGCCTGTAGGAAAATCTCAGGGTGACAGCACAGATTATCACCTGTTTATTCTTCAGGAGCCCATCTAGGTAATCCCCTGCTGAGAAATGAGATTAATTAAGGTTGTTACTGGAAGGAAGTTATCAGGTGATGTTGTTACCCTGCTGTTGGGCTGCTTCTAAAAATGCACCCTTTGCAGTGTGTGCACTGATTAAACTCAGCTAGGAAGAGCTGGGAACAGTGCTCCTGGTTTTCTTGTATTTCCACAGGAATGCATGCCTATGGAATCATGGCATTATTTAGGTTGGGAAAGTCAGCTGAGATCATTGAGTCCAGCCATTAAGCCAGCACTGCCAAGCCCACTGCCAATTAAACTTGTGCAGTTGTGTTTAGATGTGCTGGTGTGACTTTAATAAATGACCCCAAACCCATTGTCCAGCTCTAAAGCTGGAGGTCCAGTGCAATATTTCAGCTGTGCAGTGAAGTGAGGCTTTAACTGCAGCACCTGGCAGCCACTCAGGGTTATCAGATCAGATGGCTCCAGTTCAGCCCTCATCCATCCCTGTGCACCTCTTTCAAAAGAGGTACCCTGATCTTTAAAAAAAGTCTGGTTTTCTTGTTTTCTAGTACTTCTGAACACCTGCCTGCTCCAGTTCATGCCAAACAGGGCTCCATGTCTGACTGAGGAGCAGTTGTCAGCAATACCTGAGCTAAATTCTGTAATTCCAGGGAAACTGGAAGCTGTTTTGAACAGAGAAGACACAGAAATGCTGAGCCAGGTGTCAAGCTAAATGTTCTGTGTTGGTCAGTGTAATTTCTTCCAGGAGCAGCAGCAGCCTGGTCATCAACCTTCACAGCCACCACCTCACCAACTCTGCACCTCTGGCTCCCTTCCTCAGAGCTGAAATTCCTTGGAAAGCAGCAGATCCCAATGACTGAGTGTCTCTCACCCCTTTGCTTTGCAGGAGTGGCAGAAGCTCAACTATGACATTTACACTTTACGGCAGACCCGGAAAGAAGTGAGGAGCAGGTGGAAACACATTCTGGAGGATTTGGGTAAGCTGGAGGCCAGAGGGATGTAATTCCAGTGGTACTGAATGCCAGATCCCACCATGGCTGAGGATGGAACAGCTCCACAAAATCAAACTGGAGAGGAGGGAAGTAAAAGGAGGTTGCTGAGCAATGCCCTCAGGTGTCCCACGTGGTACCTGAGGCTCAGGCATGGGGAGGGGACAGGGACATCATGTCTGCAGGCACATCAAAAGCCCATGAGCCATGATCACCTTCCAAGCCCATAATAACATGCACACTCATCCATTTCGAGCTTCCTTGTGGAAACCTTGCAGTGGGAGTTCACCCAGGGTTTTCCCAAACAAGATAAGCAGGAAGGAATGACTATTCCTTTCAGATGGGAACACAGATACATCTGTTTGGTTTCCTTAGCCAATGGCAGCTGATCAGAGCTAAACCTCTCACCTCATTTGCTCCCAAGTGGGTTTGAAATATTCTTTCACCAAGTGGAATTACTCCAGAGGAACCCTCCTACTGCTGTTTCCAAGTGCTGGTGGTGGGTGTGACTTTGGGCTTTTCCCAATTGCCTGGCACACAGCATGTGACACTCAGGACGTGCCAGCACATCAGCTGGGTGACTTCCATCGTGCTCTGGAGGTGGGTGGTGGCTGCTGAGAGGAGGATGAGTGATTCTATTCTAGGATACCCTCAATGGGAGCCAGAGATGGGTATCTCTGCCACTCCTGCCCTACCTGCTATTCTGGCATTTGGGTGGGAGGAACATCATAAATCCACAACCAGCTGTCAGCCCTCATCTCCACCCAGCTGCTCACAGCAGGCCAAGCTTGGGAGGGATCACTTGGCATCCTTCCACCTCTCACTGCAGGCTGACAGAGGCTCTCCCACATCCCTCTCACATCCACAGTGGCTCTGGAGATGTTCTGCAAAGGCTGGGGAAGCTCAAGGCCAGGGATCCTTTGGTCTTAGTGAAGCTAAATGAGCAACCAGATGTGAAACCTGCTATCTTCTGTTATCTAGGCTATCTTCTGTTATCTAGGCCTCTGCTTTAACCATAAACCCACCACTCTCACCCCATAACTGTTTTCATGTGAGATGCATCACCACCAGCCCCCTGGAGCTGAACAAAGAGTGAATGGGAGCCATTGCATTTAGAGACCCTTCACTCACTCTAGTCCAGCTTTCCTCCCCTGGATACCCTTCCTGTAATTGATGCTGGCTGCTACAGGAACAATTAGCCTGGTGTTCATCACTGCCACAGGTTTTATCCCTGTTACCTGGTTTAGGGAGCCCCAGCAGCCCTGAAAGCTCTGGTAGCATCAGGAGCATGCAAGAGCTGAATCAGCACCCTGGGTTGTGTATGTTCACACACCTTTTCTCAGAAAAACCAGCAACAAACTCACTGTGACTACTTTTGTGATTTATTTTCCTCACCAGTGAGTTTATATCTGCCCCACAGCCTGCCTGAGGGGTGCTGGTTTGTTTTAGGAAGTGGGGATGCAGCTGCTCAGGGTGGAGAGGGAATAAGGAACCTTCCAAGAGCCTGAAGGGCTCAGGGATGGTTTGTTTCTGTAACAACTCTTGACTTGTTTCTGTAACAACTCTTTCCCAGGTTTCCAGAAGGAAGCAGATTCCCTCTTGTCAGTGACCAAACTCAGCATCATCAGCGACTCTCAGAACATGAGCAAAGCCCGGGACATCTTGTTAAAGCTCTCGGAGGAGACCAACATCTTCCCCACCAGCTGGGAGCTTTCTGAGCGCTACCTCTTCGTGGTGGTGAGTTCTCTGAGCACACCTTCCTCCATCCAGCTCTGCTGAGGGAGCTGGGGGTGCTCAGCCTGGAGAAAAGGAGACTCAGGGGTGACCTGTTCACTCTACAACTCCCTAAAAGGTGCCTGTGCTCAGGTGGGGTTGGGCTCTTTCTCCAGGCAGCACTGACAGAACCAGAGGACACAGTCTCAAGCTGCACCAAGGGAAATACAGGTTGGATATTAGGAAAAAGGTTTTTATATAAAAAGGGTGATAAAGTTCTGGAATGGCTGCCAGGGGGGTGGTGGTGTCACCATCCCTGCATGTGTTTAACAAAGCCTGGATGTGGCAGTGGTTTGGTTGAGGTGTTTGGGCTGGGTTGGACTTGATGATCCTGAAGGTCTCTTCCAACCCAGTCATTCTGTGATTCTGTGAAAAGATGAGACCTAATGCCTGAGAGTGGCTGTGGAGGGAGGGCTGAGACAGAGTGGAAATTTTCCAGAGTGGAAATCCATTTGGATTTAGGTGAAATGTACATCTTTAAGTCTTATGAACATAGCTGGTCTGACTGCCTATTCTCTCAAAAACCTATACTTGAAGAAACTGCTTCAGCCTAAGGACAGAGATAAGGAAGGGCCCTTGAACTCTGAAACAGACAGAGAGGCTGCTGCAGGAAACAGGGCAGGATGACCCAGGAGTTCTTTCTGTATTTTCTGATTAAAAAAAAACCTAGCTGCAAGTATACCACAAAATCAGTAAAATGAATATTTATGAACCTGTTGTGAAAGTCCATACATATGGATTAGTAAGGGAGATTAAAAAAGATCTGGAGTTCCCAGAGATACACATGTCCTTTTGAGGGGAGTGATCCCCACATGCATCCAGCGCTGGAATAAACATACCGACTTTACAGCTTCCACAAAAGTTGTGGAGTTTGTTTCCTTTTCCACAATTCGGGGCCCTGGGCAGGGACATGCCTGGAACACCCCAGAGTGACCACAGACCCCTTTGTGAAAAACACCTATCACTTGGTTTTAAAATTTTAAAAATTTAATAGTTATAAAATGGTTATTGTAGCCATGATATTTTCTGAAAAATCCCTTTGCCAGGATTTTTTCTCCTGAGAAGCTGAGAGGCCTCAGGAACAAAATCTAAACAACGATTATCTGCTGCTGTGGAATGCAACAGGTGCATCTGTGATTGGTCTCATGTGGTTGTTTCTAATTAATGGCCAATCACAGTCCAGCTGTCTCAGACTGTCTGGTCAGTCACAAGATTTTGTTATCATTCCTTTTCTATTCTTAGCTAGCCTGCTGATGAAATCCTTTCTTCTATTCTTTTAGTATAGGTTTAATATACCATATATCATAAAATAATAAATCAGCCTTCTGAAACATGGAGTCAACATTCATGTCTTTTCCCATGTTGGGGCTGCCTGCAAACAGCCACAGGTTATAAAAATAGATACAATTATAGAGTAATAATAATTTGGACAATTTGAATTAGGACAATATGAGACAATGGAAACAAAGAGTTACAGATGTCCAGGTACCTTTTTTGGGGGTAGTATAAGCCCAAAAAATGTTAACAGAGGATTAGCCCTTAAAAACAATAACCTGTTGCATATTCATACATCTCATACGTGATGCATAAATTCCATTCAAACACAGGATTCTGTCTGATCATCGTCAACTTCTTCCTCTGAATCCTGACAGTGCCTTCGAGGTGGGAAGAAGTTCATTTCTTCTGAAAATGGGGCAATAAATTCTCTTTCTCTGAAAGATTTAGATGTCCTGTGGCTGCTGAGTCCTCTCTTTAAAAAGTATCCTACATAGCATAGTTTCTATTTTAACATTTTTTTATAGCCTAAAACTATATTTAACAACACTGCTTAAGAGAATTAATACAGCATCACTTTCTAACAGAACACACATAATATTCATTTGAACATTTACATAAAGCCAATCCTAAAACAGTCATTTTCCACACCCTTGTTTGGCAGGACCGCCTCATCGCGCTGGACGCCGCGGATGAGTTCTTCAAGATGGCCAGCGCGGTGTACCCCAAGCGGCCCGGCGGGGACCGGCTGGACGAGGCACCCCGGGCCCTGCAGAGCCCCCCCACGGTGCCCTGAGGGACCTGCCCTGGCGGTGTGACACGGCCAGCGCTCCTGGGCAGGCTGCTGTGCCCGGGGCCAGCAGGACAGAGCCCTCCTGGTGGCCCTGTGGAGAAGAGAGTGGGCAGAGCGGGGCCAGCCGTGCCCAGCAGGAGCGCGCATGGAAAGGGACGCTGGCACCACGGGGCTCCCGGGCACGAGGGAGTGACAGCTGGGACACCACTGGCCAGTAGTGTGTGAAACAGGCACAGAGAGGATCTGCCATGCCAGGCATTGCTGCCAGAGCCTCCAGTTCCAAGGGCTGTGAGGAAATGCACCTTTCACCTGCCTGCTACCTGCCGCTGTCCCCTCCCTCGAGCTGCCAGCCAGGAGGAGCGGCGAGACAGGAAAAACACCTCTGTGTCTACAGCTCTGTGACTCTGTGCGCTGCTCCTCATCCTCACCCCAGCCCTCCAGGCAGGTCCCAGGGGATTGGGAAAGAGGCAGGAGCTGTGCCAGGACAGGAGTTAATTCCAGGCAGCAAAGCCTTGGAGCAGTGTCACAGTTGGGTGCTCCATCCCCAGCCATTCGTGGTTGAGGGATGTTTTGACATCTTAAAGGAAGGTAGAGTTTAGGAAGGTGCCAAGTTCAGAGCTGCTGAGAATTTGGCTCCTGGAACATTGGTTGCCCAGCATCTCAACCTATTTTGAAAAGTTTTGGTCTTAATTGCCTAAAAAAACCCCAGCACAAAGCTGCTTGTACTGGCAATCTAAAAATCCTCATTACCAGCAGGGATGGTATCATGAACATCCTTTTTATCTTGGGGTTTTGTCTGATAATGAGCAATAATTTTTAAAACACTGGATTTGATAATTTAAAAAAGTGGAATTTCTTCACTGATGAACACACATGCTGCTAATTGGCCAGTTGAAAATGCTGGTTACACAGGGCCTCCCAAAGTAGCAAACCAGAGCTTTTATTTGTTTATACCTACAGCGTTCGAAAAAAATATATTTATGAGCTGTTTTTGTTTGTCAGTCTTCCTGGGAAACATTTTTGTCAACTTAAAACAGCAGCGAAAGCTGAGTTTAATAAAGAAAACATTACAAAACCAGCCTTTCTTACTCACTCTGTGAACCTAGCCAGGTAACAATGTTTATGTTGACTGCTGATAGCAAAAGGGTTGGGATATTTGTAGAACCTCTGCAGCTTGTTCTCCACACACTTTAAATTGCCTGTTGACTTAGGAGAGGTACATTTGCCAGCCTAAGACAAAAATCTTTGTAGGAGATGATGGGGATCAAATTTAATTTCAGTGAGATTTGGCATTAGGTACCCATTTCCTACTGAATTTATTTTTTTCTAACAGGAGTTCAGCTGCCCTTTGCAAAACCTCCTGTGTTTTTATAGAAAATAAACTTTGGTGCACGACAAATCCAGGCTTTGATTTGAACAAATTGTCATGGAACAGAGAGAGATCCGTGCCAAGGTGCCTGACACCACCCAAACCTCAGCCCTTGGCACGTTGTCCCTTACAGTGCTACCTGTTATTTAAAGCCACCTGATGAGTTTGGAAAGCTCAGAGGCAAGAAGAGAAATCCTTTTAGCTGTGCTGCTTTTTGTGAGCACGGAGGTCAGCGTTCAGCAGTGCCTGTGCAGAGCTGCCCCTCGCTGTCACGGCTGTCAAACCGGTTCTCATGTCACCAGAAGGCATTGTGGTGGAACTTCATAGGGCAGGCTGCCCAAAAGGGACAATGATCAGGATTTCTAAGCGAGTTTAGCTGCTGAAGATCCCATGTGGGGAAAACACTGAGTTTCTGAGTGCAGCCACAAGGAGGAGCTGGAATTTGTTGGATGGGAGCCGAGCCCTCGCTCCTTTCCACACTCGGGGAGGAGTAACCGGCTCAGAATTTCTGTTTATGAACAAATCACAACAGCAACAGAGAAAAACCTGTCAGTCCCAGCACTCAGCTAAAACTGGTCATGGGGTATCCTGAAAATATTGCAGCCTTTGGTGAAGGAGAAGGATGCAGAGCTTTGGAAAATCTGCAGCTTGAAAAATTATAGGAACCAGCAGAAATTATTTCCATATAGATGCAAGCTCAAGTTGGTCACTCTGTCCACCTCCATAGGAAATGTCCTTGCATTCACTCGGGACAGGAGACCAATAAATTGTATTTCAATCAGCAAAATGGAGAGAGCAATTTGCCCTTTCTAAATTCCACAGAAAATACCAGGGAGATGCACACTAGTCCTGGAATTCCTGCCCTGACAGAGCAATTCCCTTCTTCACCAGAAGCCATTTGGGTTTTGATGCACCACCACCACCCAGGCCTCCAGCTGCCATTCAGATGGGCTTGAGCCCTCCACCTGATATTTGGGGAGATGTTTTGAGATCCTGCATGTCCCAGATGCTTCTGGGGAGCCAGACTCTGCAAGATTAAGTTCTTTTCTGGCTTAGAGATGGGCTGAGAGGCATTTTAAAAACTTTCATTCTATTTTCAGTCTCATGAGAAGGGTGAGACAATGCAGATGTTACAATTCACATTATCACTATCAGAAGCTAACTATTTTTTAATTACAATACACTATAATGGTTTCTTGGCCTTTCAGTTTTAGCCACACCATGCTGTAAATGCCTTAAAACCAATAATCTAAAACTACTCCTCGTGTGTCTTACTGCAATGCATCTCTTTTAGTTCTATTTCTCCAAGATACCCAGCCTTATTTGCAAGGCCATCCTTTGAAACTTGTTTCTAGTTCCATTTCTCTGTCAGCAATGTCTGTCCTATTCCATGGCATTTCTAAGTCAGCATTCCTTATCTCAAAATTTGCATACAGATATGTGAGCCTTCTGTCAGGCTTTGAGAGTTCTCTACAAATCCATTTCCCACAGGCATCCTGCATGTCCCAGGTGCCCCTGGGGAGCCAAACCCTGCCCAAGTCCAGGGAATGTTCCAGCAGCTGCCTGGGAAGTGGAGGCTGTAGGAGAGCCCAGCGAACAGCAGATGCCACTGTTCCCTCAGCATGGGAAAAATCCTGTTTACCATGCAGGGGAAATATTCCCAACCTTTTCTTGCATGCATCGAGTCTCTGGAGCCTGCAAGAACTGGATTTCTGTTAAAGGTTGGGGTTTAGACATTCAATAATGACTCTGGCTCTTTCCAGGAGATGGTGCCCAGCCCATCTCTCTTCCAGGGCTGGGGCCAGGGCCTGTGCTCCTGCTTGGAAGTGCCACTTGCCCTGAGGCTGCCTGCTGCAGGGATTAGCATCTTCACTAAGAACATTTCTTTTTCTAAGTAGAGAGTGGTTTTGGTATCCCTTCCTTCTATCACAAAAGGAAAACCACCAAGAATTCTTTAAAATGAGTGATGTGAGAGGGTTTAAAGTACATCTGGGTTTATTTGGTTTCAGATATTTTTTCACCCTCAACTTGACATTACATTTAGCTAATATTTCATCAGAAGAGAAAGAAAGAAAGAAAAATTTTACTTTTTTTTTTTTTTTTTTCATTTAGAAGTCATGGTTATGCTTTACTTGGATTTCTTCTCCTAGAATCACGGGATGGTTTGGTTCAGAAGAGACCTTAAAGATGTTCGACTCCCTTCCACTATCCCAGGGTGTTCCAAGCCCTATCCAACCTGGCCTGGAACACTTCCAGGGATGGGGCAACCACAGCTTCTCTGGGCATAATATTTTAACATATTAAAATATTATGCCCAGAGAAGGTCATGGGGAGCAGCACTGGAGAGTTCCCTTCCTCCAAATTAAAGCTAGGAAGTCAGGATAGTGTAATTAATAGAGACCAGCTAGAAAAAAAACCACAAAAAAACCATTGTGCATATGCATGTGTGGTTTCTTCTTTGTATTCCAAGTTCTCCTAGGACATATATCCAGAACTCAACAGGATGAGCAAAAGAAAAACTGAAGTGTGGTGGAAATTGAGCTGTGAGCTGTAAGCCAGGCAGAAGGTGGCAGTGCAGGTGTTTGGTAAAGGCTGGAGCAGCAGCAGCACAGGAGATGGAAGCAGTGTCCTGGAAGGGGTCTGGCTTATCCATTTTACTTGTTAGGGATGTAAATCACAGCCTAAGTTCTGATAAATAATGAGAATGGACACGGGAAAGAAAACTGTCATCTTTTAAATTTCAGCTGTAGGAAAAATTACCATTTCAAACTGCTCAGTTTCAATCATTTCCAACGTTAGAAATTCCAACACTTACACGCTGTTCCTGGAGGGAAAGCATGTACTTTTCTGGTCTAATGAGGATCACTAACATTGAGTGACTGGCCACAGAGTAGCTCTCCAGAAGCATTCCTTTGAAGACAAGCAACCATTTTTGTGTGGGGAGTCCTTGTTAAGCAAGTTGTGGATTATCAAAACCATTTCTTTGCCTTACAAATCACAGACCTTGAGGACACATCCATCAGGAAGCTGTCCTTGCACAGGGGAGACCATGGAGAAATCTCTTAATAAAACCTCAGGAAAGACTGGCAGAGCAAAAGCTTGGCTGCTTTGCCTGTCTTGTTTGCCCTGATAAAATGTGCTACACCTCTCTCTGTAAGCCTTGTCCTTACTCTTGGGGAGAACAGAGGTTTTTCAGAGTGATAATAAATTGAAGTGAATGTTTTGTTGGACTTGGATAAGGAAAGGGAGACACCATGGAGGCCGTGGATGTCTTCCATAGGATCTCAGCAGCATTAGAATAAACAGATTTAGGCAGCCAAAGATAAAATAGATGAGATAGAGATAGAGATAGAGAGAGAAAGAGAGAGAGAGAGAAAGAGAGAGAAATAGATAGATAGATATGAGATAGAGACAGAGATAGAGATGATAGAGATAGAGATAGAGACAGAGATAGAGATAGATATGATAGAGATAGAGATGATTAGAGATAGAGATAGAGATTATTAGAGACAGAGATAGAGAGATTAGAGATATAGAGAGATAGAGAAAAATATAGAGATGATACAGATAGAGATAGAGACAGATAGAGATGATAGAGACAGAGACAGAGCCACATGTTTGGATGAGGTTTGGAGCAGCCTGGGCTAATGGGAGGTGTCCCTGCCCATGGAAGGAGGTGAGCTTGGAGCCCCTTTCCACCCCAAACCATTCTGTGATGTCAAAGCAAAGGCAAGAGGGCAGCAAATGGAGGCACAGAGGCCCAGGGGCGGGCAGAGCATTTATCTGGGGTGTGCAGAGGGTACAGCACTGGTGCCAGGTTCTGTTGTGATGGTGCAGCATCAGCTGGGTAGCAGCAGCAGGAGGAAATGTGTTTGTGCATGCCCCAACAGCCAGCAGCCAAACTCCAGCCTGAGGAGAGTCACCAGCACGTCAGAAAGGAGGGAGATTTATGAAAGGATGTGTTACCAAAAGTTTCTCCTTCCCAGAGTGGCAGCTTTATATCTGCTAAACTGCTGAGATTCTTTCCACCGGCTTGAGCTGGGTTTGAGTCAGACTTTGGAGACACAAACACCAGAGCAAGTCCAGACACCACTGCAGTCATAAACAAACCTCCTGCCAGCTGCCCATCTACTCTTCTTCTGCATCAAAGTCACAAAAATAACAAATATGGCTCCTGAGAGGACTTTTTACGAGGGATGAGAGGATCTACCTGTACTTCCCTAAAGAACAAAAATGAAGCCAAAACCATTTCTCACAGCCAAGGGATCATAAGGAAAATTCAGGCTGGAGGAGACCTCAGGAGGTCCTCTCAGCCAACCTCCTCCTTGCCTGAAACCATCTTCTCTCTCCTTTTGAAAATGGCATGGAAAGCATTGTTGGCATGAACAGTGTTTCATCTCTCCAAAGCAGTACTGGCTGGTACAAAGAGAATAAATTCCTTTTTTGTTTGAATTAGGAGAAATAGAAGATCTGTGAAACCCATCTGGAGGGCAGGTTTGGAATGGATTCATCCCTCCATGAAACTGCTTTGATACCTGTTACTCAAGTGACCATGGGCAGGTTTAAATGTGCATTTTCCCATTCCTCCCGAGGTGAAGGAGCTGGAGGGAGGAGTGTTGGGAGCCTGGAGCCACTAGGGCAGTTCAGCCAGCCTGGGCCCTGGCCAGAGGGGTGATGTGGTCAGCAGGGAGCCAGCAGCACCCACAGGGTCA